CTGGTCAAGTGGGATTTATGGCGGACTAAGTGGCGCTGGGGCAGGTTTTCTCCAAGTACTTCGGTTTCCCCTGCCAATCTTCATTCCACTAAATTCTCCATCATTATAATCACCCGGGGCAGGCTACAATAGGCCAATCAGTGGTCGCCGTGCCGAGTGGACCTAGTTGGACTCCACGCCCCACTAAGCGATTTGTGTCTAGTCGCTTTCACGTGACAGCTGGTGTCAGGAGTGGGGTTCGAACCGACACCTTGAAGTATGCCACTAACCCTTCCAGTTCAGTTCCAATTCACTGTTCATCCCCTCATTTCACTCTATATTGCCTGAGGAACTGGCAGCTTTATACCGAACGGGTTCCTATAGAAATATCCCCCTCTTCTTGTATTCGAAGGTCACCGGCTATCCTTATTGAGATTGTCCTTGTTAATGGGATGGGACTTCATCTAAGGTATGAGAGCGTCTACTTCCAGATATTCAAATTCATTAATCATTCGGTCATGTGACATTGTCTTTCTTCTTTTGGGGTTTTTTAACATTTTGAGCCTGGAGACTTTATAATCCCGGTACTTGAAGTGGCGTTAAACAATTCAAAGAAATTAAAATAGTCTTTACTTACTTACTAACTTACTTACTCTTGGAGCTGAGCATTTCTTGAGGGAAAGCCAATTCTGCAGCTCCTCAAGAATTTCCCACCATTTTATAGAACTCGAAGGTTCATTACCGTGTTCACAAGAGCCCTCCACTGGTCCCTATCTTGAGCCAGATTAATCCAATACACACCATCCCATTCTATCTCTCTAAGATTCATTTTAATATTGTCCACCCACCTACGCCTTGGTATTCCCAGTGGCCTCTTTCCTTCTGGGTTTCCCACCAATATCCTATATGCATTCCTCTTCTCCACCATTCGTGCTACATGCCTTGCCAACCTCATTCTCTCTGACTTGATCATTCTTATTAGCAGAATAGTCTTTACACAAACCACAAATATATAAACAGGCGTTCAATCTTACCTACGCCCTGCACATTCTTTGCCCCTTCATTCCGTGGTTGGCTTCACGCTGTCATTTCATTATCCCAATACCCATTCAAACATAGTTTCTCAAATTTTACAACCCCTTCCCAGGTGGTCATCAGCTACTTTTAGGGATCTGCAAGCTCTAGAAAATTGTTAAAAATACGGTTTGAATCCACGGAGAGTTTCTTCAGATCAGTTAGTTAGCAGCGTTCAACATAGAAATTTTCAGAAAATTCTGCTGCCGCCAGCGAAATATTTCGCGAATATTTATGTGACTACAGGGAAATTTTGGGGTACGCGGTAGCGTAGTTTATTGAGGCAAGCCGGAAAGTAGAGGGTTCGAGTCCCGATGAGGTGGATTATTTCTTTTTCCATTTACTTAATCCTTCCAGCCGTACCATGGCCCTGGGGTCGACTCAGCTGAGTACCAGGTATCTTCCTGGGGGATAAAGGGCGTCCGTCGAGTAAGGCTGACAAACTTACCTCCATCTTTGAGCCGACTGTCTAGATAATGCGGGAGCCTCGACGTCTCACAACCCTATGGGCCTTCACGGCCTGTTACAGGGACAGCTTTACTTTACCTTACAGGGAAATGTTTTAGCTAGCTCTAGTTTAAGAGGGGTTGTGACACTATTTAGACTATATCTGAATCTTACAATGTGACAAAAAATGAATCAACTTGCATAATTGAACATTTTTCTCTGACCGCAAAAGCTCGGTGGTTGCGTAAGTATATACATTATTTTATGTCATTTGGTAACACAAATGTTTGAGAACTCGTGCATGAAATAGATTCGGGGTGAAGTCCCTTGCGAGATAGCTGTAGTTAACATAATATTTTGTCCCCTTCGGAGATCCAGAACTGGTCGTGTACCTGTCCACAGTCAGTTTACAAGATGGTCTGGACGTTTATTAAAGGAATGTTACAAATAAGCTTTTAAGCCTTTACTTTTTAATTTGAAAACTTGATCTAAAGACGGCGAGATGATGTTAATTGGTTGTTTGTTTACTTTCTCATTTATTTGCTGGCAGTGCCCCGGCTCAAATGTATGCGCCTACGGTCACAACCAAAAGATGTTTCGGCCAACGGTCAGTAGTCATAGCATTCGCGAGCCGAGAAAGATCAGAAATATTAGTAGGCACTACTATGTTTCCGTAGAGGTCCAAGTAGTTACAATTAATAAATAAGACGGCATAAATATGTTACTCTTTCATAATACCGATTTCACGACAAGAAATACAATTAACATATATGTAAAGTATGAAATGCCGGTCACGTAGCCGAGCGGTCTAAGGCATGTACTTTCTTCGCTCGCTTGGAAACCTGGATTGTGGGTTCGAATCCCACTCAGGGCATGGATGTTTAGTTTGTGTGAGCGTTTTTCTGTGTTTGTGTACAGGTAGAGGCCATGCGACGAGCTGATCACCCACCAAAGGAGTCCTGCCGAATGTGTTATATCTAGAAAAACCGAAGTGAACGGAGAAGTTCATGGAGGTAGGCCTAGGCCCACTGGGGCTGTAGTTCCAAGGAAAAAAAAAGTATGAAAGAGTTGTTCGTAATATCCCAGACAATCTACGTTAGCAACGCCATCTGTCATCGTGTTGTGCGGCTTGGGCTCGTGTTTTAGAAGGGCAAGTGGCTCATCCCGCAGAATCACGGCTAACTGCCAGCAAACTTAATTTCACGGTTACATAACTAATCACCTTCATACACACAGGACGCTTCGTGGATATGTGTGTTACGGCGACTCCATCAGGTCATGCAACGGTTCTAGTTGAAAGTTGCTGGCTTCATACTACAGAGACTCGAATTTATTCTCGGTAGCTTTCTAGTGAATGACATGGCTTTGCAGCAAGTTTTTCTTTGAGTTTTTCCTTGTTAATTATCATTCAGTTATTGCCCTTTTTTTATTGCTAGTTGGGTGGGACTAAGTCCCTTGTATTGCGGCCACTTCTAGCCTATTGCACAAGCCCCAGATGATAGGCGAGGGTGATTATGGAGTAATTGGTGGAATGAAGATTGGCATGGGAGACCAAAGTACTCGGAGAAAACCTGTCCTAGCGCCACTTTGCCCACCACAAATCCTACTTGACCAGACCCGGGATCGAACCCGGGCCGCCGGGGTGGGAAGCCAGCGACTACCCGCTTGAGCTATGGCGCGGCCAGCTGTTGCCCTTACTTATTCTTTTCTTTGGCGCTACAGCCCGAGTTTGGGTCTGCGCCTACCTCCATGAAATTCTCCGTTTGACTTTGGTTTTCTATATCTTAGATAGTCGGTAGGACTCCTTGGACGATTGGTCAGCTCGTCGCAAGGCCTCTACCTGTATGTAATCACAGAAGAAAGCACACACACAAACACTAAACATTCATGCCCTGAGTGGGATTCGAATCCACGATCCCGGCTTCCGAGCGAGCGAAGACAGTCCATGCCTTAGACCGCTCGGCTACCGTGACCGGCCCTTACTCGTTTACACTGCCACCTTATAGCACTGAACAGGCAGCTTCATGTCTGATCCAACACTTCGCTGCTTATAGAGTCTGAAGATTTTCTTATTGCTATCAGTAGCTCTGGTGATTACGTACCGTCGCATGATAAGAAAATTGGTGAATAATGAAGCGACAACAATGTGGAAAGAAGTGGACACGACCTAATTTAACACAAACTCCAACTACTTGCCTGGATTTTCTGAAGAAAAGCACCATAAACCTTAGTAGAGTTAGCAGGTGACGTTTGACCGAGTTTTGAAACAACACCTTCAGAATATGGGTCAGGAATGCTATATTTACGTTTCGTTCTATGCCGAGGCAGACATAAAGGCACCCAAACTGACTTAGGCTTCATGAGTTTATTTTAGTCTACGGGAAAGTGACGTATAGAATAAATTGCCAGGCATTTGCCTTGATGGGATACAGGTAATGAGAGGGGCTGCTCCAACTGTCATATTGCTGGATTCCCGGTTGCCACAGCGCTGATTATAAAGGGTTCTAACGGGATTTAACGCCGTGTAGTGCGATTAAAATCAACCAATGTTACGGATAAAAATATCGCCTCCATCTTCAGGGTCGAAATAAATTTCGAGTAAGAAACTAGCTCTCCTTGCTGTCTGCAACATGTTTGTTTCGCTCTTGCCTTACTCATCTTACCCTGAAGATGGAAGCGAAATTTCCTCCAAGACGTCACCTGCTTTTCACTGAAACTCGTTGCATTTTGTCCCAGAAGGAGAGGAAGATAATATTAAAACGGACCTTAAGGGTATGAAAATGTGAGATAAATTCATCATGTTCAGAATAGTGATCAGTGACAGACTTTAATGAGCACAATAATGAGCCATCGGGTTTCATATAATCGAATGAATGTTTTTACTAGCTGGAAGATACATTTTCAACAGAAACCCCTCTATTGAGCTGGTCCCTCAGAATCTGTGTGAATAATATCTTTGACTGTAACATTTTAATTTATGGAAAATTCGGTTCCCACAGCAACGAATGAATGTCACATTCATTCTATTGCGTCTATGGGATCAGTAATGTGAAGCGGGGTGCCATTTTCCTGTGAAAGAAGCTGCACATATAACAACAGAATGTAGTAACGCAGAAACATATCCAGCGCTCTCCATTTCAAAAGATTCTAGCATAAGAAAAGTAAAAGTCCATACGAAAAATCTTAAACCTTAAGATTGAAATATTAATTTTAAGAAACATCAAAGGAAGACAATAAATTGGAAACATGGGTCGAACTTGAAGTAAGATATTAAAACTTTGGGTCAGATTTGACTGCTCAAATTAGGATGCATTGCCTAGCTCTTGTGAACGTGTCAGAAAATATTAAAATTCCATTAAATGCGCGGAAATAGATGAGAGTTCAGCGACTGGTAGCTTCTCAGTTAGATTCTAGTCCTTGGATATGTTTGTTTGCATATTTATCAGTAATCGTTCTAACAATTAGCCCTTTATGCACACTATTTTTTTCTTTTGTTTCAGACATCTTAACCTCACTGTGTCAAGAGTTCCTCTCGGTGAATGTGTCTGCCATCTTGTATCTCATGAATTACGAGACATATGGAAGAAGCACTGCGTCTGCGCAGTATTTCCTGCAGCTCGCTGGATATCTGGGTATTCCTGTTATTGCATGGAATGCCGACAATTCTGGTCTAGAACGGGTAAGATACATCTGTCATATACCTTTAGCCCACCCAAATGTTTTCATTGTTGTGGGACATCTGTCTCTTCTGGTTGCTTCAACCTTTTATTGCAAGATAATAACTGCATATACCCGGGCCGCGCCATAGCTCAAGCGGTTAGTGGTTGGCTTCCCACCGCGGCGGTCCGGGTTCGATCCCGAGTCTGGTCAAGTGAGATTTGTGATGGACAAAGTGGCTTAGGGGCAGGTTTTCTCCAAGTACTTCGGTTTCCCCTGCCAGTCTTCATTCCACCAATTGCTCCACAATCACCCTCACCTATCATCTGGGGCTGGTACAATAGGCCAGAAGTGGCCGCAGTACAAGGGACTTAGTCCTACCCCACTAGCAATAAAGAAAACTGTATATACCACAGATTTTAAGGATAAAGAACCTTATATTTTGTCCACAGAAAACATTTATGAGTTTCATGTGGTCATAGAATAAACAGCGACCATTTTCCTAAACTGTATTAATCGATGGGATTTGTAATAGAGGTAAAATATGTTTTCTAAAGGTAGTCGCTGCCGGTCACGGTAGCCGAGCGGTCTAAGGCATGCACTGTCTCCGCTCGCTCGGAAGCCGGGACCGTGGGTTCGAATCCCACTGAGGGCACGGATGTTTGTGTGCGTTTTTCTGTGTTTGTGTACAGGTAGCGGCCTTGCGACGTGCTGATCACCCTCCCAAGGAGTCCTACCGTATGTCTAAGATCCAGTAAAACCGAAGTGAAACGGAGAGTTTCATGGAGGTAGGCCTAGGCCCAAATGAGGGCTATAGAGCCAATGAAAAAAAATGGTAGTCACTAAATTAAAATTATTTTGATGAACTTCGGGCATTAAAGTGTTCATCGCATTTATTGCTGCAAATACGTGCTGACTGTGAGAAGTGATGTTATCGTAGCCATCTCTAGGAAGATTACCGTTTTATGGTATGTCACGCCGTTTAGATTGACAGATGTTCACCGACGTTTCGGAGAATAGTCGTAGGATGTTACGTGTCAGAAGACAGCAATATTATTTCTGTATCTATACTGAAATAACGTTATTACTGGACAGAAGTCCTCTGACAAGTTTGGGCCACCATTTTGACATGTTTGATTTCGTTTTACATGGGGTACTTTGAGTAGAAAATTAAATTTATACATACAAGAACGGTTAGATCACAGGTAATTTAATAATATACCGGTTGCGTCCAGTCATATGAGGGAATTATCACTTTCGATTAATTTCGAAGGATTTGGAGGAAGCGGTCGTGGACCATTTAAAATTATTTTTCCAGAATTTGCCTGGACGACTTGATAAAAGGCATGAAAATACCTCTCAGAATAGTTGGTGTTCCTGCTTGTATGAGAACCCGGTTCGTTTTAGTTACAAGGTGAGGCAATGTGTTTGATTTGTGTTCTTACTTATTGCATTAACATTGGTATAGATGCTTGCTGCGTTTGTCTGTGAATACTGTCACGTGTTTCCAGGTTAACGTGACTAATAATTGTGGATTCTAGATTTGATGACTGGGCTTATCGTCACTATTACAATTACACTCGATTATAACAGCTGACACACTCGACTCCTTCTGGATACCGAATCCCTCTGTGCTTAGTCCTCGAAAGCACGTTGATTCACTGCCGAATCACTTCTCCTTCTCCCGCGTTCTCTCGTATTCTGTATTTTATCTGCTTGGCGTACCGAATAGGGGACACACAGTCGAACAGTTCATTTTTTCGTTGTCACGAAATAGACCCCTCCGTTGCTATGAGAAGAAATTTTACCTAGCCGTTGCTTAGCAACAGACTGTTTCAGCTGGTCGCCACGGATACGTGTATCAACAAGTCGATACCTATGCAATGGATTCACATGTCACAGCATGTTCTAGCATACTGTTGCATCTGACTGAGGCCTGAAAATATGTTTTTATTCTGTGTTTATGTCTAGTTCTTTTTATAACATTAAGTATGCCAAGTCTGAGACTTACAGAAACTACAGATTTAGACGCATCACAAGAGAAGTTAAGATGTAATAAGTAAATTCAACATAGACACTCACCGTTATCAACAACCATCATGATAGGTGCAATGTTGTCTAACAGTAGCATGGAGTAATCGTCCATCGTCTTCATTTTCTTTATTCTAAAGCTCAGCCTTTCGAAAATCGACCTTATGTACGTCATCAAATGTGAAGGAGGTAAATTCTCTTCTTCCCTAGATGCGATATATCGCGCTGACCTTAATCCCTTGGCACTTCAAGGGGACAGGATCGATTTAGACTCCGTAGTTTGGCTCTAGTTCTGCAGTGTGGTAGTGTGCCCTGGTCTGGCTTCCCGATAAAAGGGTGAGGCGTCGACATACCAGTATTTTTTTTTCTTTTGTATATGGCACTGTTCCTCTTAAGCCCGAGAAATGGAGCAACATTTGTTCCGTTGCGCGCGCAGCTGTAGTTGGTAGCATGTTTACTTACAGTCCAGGGGTACTTGACTCGATTACCACTGCAGTGGCGTTATTGTCACCATGTCCACGTCTTTGATAACTGTAAAATATCATGAACTACTTTGTGGTTAAAATAAAAAAGTAAAGCTATCCCTGTACCAGGCCGTGAAGGCCCATAGGGTTGTGAGACGTCGAGGCTCCCACGTTATCTAGACAATCGGCTCAAAGATGGCGGTAAGGTTGTCAGCCTTACTCGCCGGCCGCGCTTTAATCCCCAGTATAATTATTTAATTAATTCCTGGTACTCATTTCTGTTAGGGGCTGAGTCGACCCCAGGGCTGGAAGGATTAGGTCAATTGAAAAAAAATCCAATGACATCATCTGGACTAGAACCCGCGACCTTCCGGCTTGTAGCATGGTGCCTCAACCAACTACGCTACCGAGTGCCCCGAAATGCCTTGAGGTTGATTCTTTTAATGCTATTTTTCCTTTTTTTTTTTCCTTTTTTCATAAATGAGAATAAGAGGAATACGTGACAGCACTAAATGCGGGTCAACCATGATAGAATTAAGATACCTGTGTGTTCCTGGTACTGGGTTTCAAATAAGAAATTCTAATTTTTTTTGTAAAATTATATTTAAAATATTTATACTGTCGACCGCCTCTGTGGTCTAGTGGTCAGAGTTCCTGGCTACAAATTTAGAGGTCCCGGGTTCGATTCTCGGCGCTACATGATTTTCTGAGAAATAGTTCGTCTGGAATGGAGTCCACTCAGCCTCATGAGGATAACTGAGGAGCTATTTCAAAGAAATAGCGGCTCTGGTCTAGAAAACCGAGATTAACGGCCGTGAGGATCCGTTGTGCTGACCACGTGACACGCCCTATCCGCAAATATTGGCACTAACTTCGCCGACAAGCGGCGGTCGCTCGGTCGGTGTTGTTCGCTTGAGGACTACAGGCCACGGAGTTTGTATATATATACTGGAACCTGTCCGGAGTTCCATGACTAATAATGACGGGTTCTGGATTTGATAATTGAATTTATTGGCGCTTCTATTACAATTACAACCAGTTATAACAGCTCACAGTCAATGACTGCCTAAGTCTCCCCCCATTCCTAGCTGGACTACGAGTGCGTTCTCTTCCACTGTCACGAATGCACTCAACTCTCGAACCAATTACGTACCCCCTTGCTATGACCTCGAGGAGAACCGAATATAAATCACCACTCAAACAGTTCCTGTGTTTGGCGAGCAGTCAACTAGCCTCTGGAACATGTGTTACCGAACCGTTGCCTATCGGTGGTCATATTTGTCACAATACGTTTATACAGAAACAACTGGAAATAGCGGATGTTGGACTACACTTCAGGCTTGGAACAAGAAGTAACCGGATTATCTCTCTCATCACCCAGATCGGCAGGTGTATCCATACCTACTATCATGTTTCACAAGAATTTTTCACTTTATTGCAAGAAAATAAACTAATTATATTACATTTTTTAATTTTTGGAAGTAGCTATCTTCTCTGGTAGTACTGTAAGTCAGCTCGGATTACCAATTTTCCCCTTTACAACAGTCGAGACACGAACGAGGTTCTTCGATTAGTATTTTTACTTGTATGCATTTCTCGTCTTCCCAACTCGTGCTACCTGTCACGTCCGTCTCCCCCGACTTGATTACACCAGACTAACAATATTGACTGAAGAGAAAAATTATGAAAATGTAAAGTGTAGAGCAGAACGCAGAGGGACGGAGAAACCTGAGAGAGAGAGAGAGAGGTTTTCTTTATTGTGATACAGAAGCAATTGTTTTGTGCTTTTATGCTCTCCAACAAAGTTTAAAAATATTATCCCTGTAACTGGCCGTGGAGGTCAAAAGGGTAGTGAGACGTCGAGGTCCCACATTTTCTCTATACAATCGGCTCACAGATGGCGGTAAGGTTGTCAGCCTTACGCGCCGGCCGCCCTTTAACCCCACAAAGATTCCTGGTACTCATTTCTGTTAGATGCTGAGTCGACCTCAGCGTCATAGTGCGGCTGGAAGGATTACGTCAATTGAGAGAAAAAAAAGGCCACCTCATCCGGACTCGAACCCGCTACCTTCCGGCTTGTAGCATAGTGCCTCAACCAACTCAGCGCATACCCCATGCTCCCCGTCTTCCAAATTTTTTATGATTGGAGTGAAAATAAGTTATTGACGTTTACTTCCGTCTCTTCTCTCTACGTCTGAAGTGGGTAAACATGAAACAGTTGGAGACCCTGTCCCTAGGTAGCCACGTCTGCCCTCATTCACGGATCATATTCTGGGTTGATACTCTCACGTTTCCTGCGGAGCGTGGAGAGAAATGAGTGAGTTTCACGTCCGCCCCTTCCCCTCTCTGTAGGTCTGCAGAGGATAAACAAGAAATGTTTGGAAACCCTGTGCTTGAGAAGCCACTCGCAGCCCTCGACAGTACGACATGAATGCGGTTTATATTGACCAGTCAATCCAACAACATTTCCTTTATATCTCTGCAAAGTGGTTACTGTATGAACGGCTTACTTTAATGTTTAGTCTCT